ATTCTGTGGCTTCTTCCTGGGGACCGGGCTGATCTCCGTGATGGGCACCAGCTTCACGTTTCTGCCGATCGCGCGGGAGATGGTGGTCGTGATGGGTTTGTTTTCCACCACCACCAGAAATTGGAAGGGGAGGGGGGGGTCCTCCTCCTCCTCCTCTCCCTCCTCCTCCACCTCCTCCTCCTTCTCCTCCTCCTCTTCCTCCTCCTCCTCCTCGTCCTCCTCCCTCCCCCTTCAACTTGTGGTGTTGGTGGTGGAAAGCAGGCCCATTAGGTCGGGGAGATCCTGGACAATCAGGCGGCCTGCGCGACCGTTGACGATCCTGGCATGGTCGGGTACGGGAAGTTCTTGGGGACGGCACTCGAGGGCTGAGAAAGTCAGTGGGGGGAACATCTGCCGACACAGGTACCTCTCTCCCGTTTGCGTGGTCTGGGGCGTCCTGGAGAAACCTCGCCGCCGCGGATGGGTTCCCCTGGAAATCAGCACCGCCACTATGGATTCGCCTCGAGACACTGGTCAGACCGCACCCTAGGAGAGGTCCGGGAGCAGCTGCATCGGTATGTGTTCGTCCCCTCACAGGGGGGGGCAGAAGCTTCGATGATGTTCAAGGGTGGTCAGAACGCGACTCACGATGAGAGGCGCTAGATTTTTACTCGGGATGGTTCATTCCCCGAGGGGGGGTTGAAGGGACAGGCTCAAGGGAGGAAAGCATCGGCCTCGCAGTGGGCGTGCGGGCGTGGCATCGCAGTGCGATGCTGCGTCGGACAGCGTTGGGCCCACACCCCCGGCGGACAGATTGATAAACACCGTGCGAGAGTTTGTCCGCAGTTCCCCGCGTCCGCGGGTCCTTGCTCAGCCCCGAGACTGTTCAGAATGGACATTGGATTAGGCACCCGCCCCAGAGAAAGGGTTGGAATGTCGTGGGCCCCGCGTTAAACAAGTCAGGGCATGTGGTCTTTTGGGAGGTGTTTCGCGGTAGGCCCCCCCGAAACGCAGTGAAATAGCACAGTAATCGCAGAGGTGTTGCGAGCTTCAGAGGAGTGTTAGGGTCAGTTTGGGGAATCATTTCGGGCGAGGTTTCGCTCCCGATGCCCAAGCTTTTGCCTTTCCGAAACAAGGCCGCTCAGAAGAGAAGGGGCGCTCGGGGATACAACCCTGGGGGTCTGTCAAGGATGGACGCTCCCCCCATCGTATATCCCCGACTTGGGCCCCCCATGTTTTGTCTACTGGGAATCCCATAACGCCAGGGGTGTTGGTCGGCATACGGCCTGTGAGCATCCACCCAAGGTCACCCATTCCTTGCCGTCGGGGGCGTGAGTGTCTCACCCCAGCCCAGGGAGCGTACTGCCTCGATGCGGAGGGGGGCGCATCGTCGGAGCATCGGTGCTGCATCGTCGATACTCGGAGGAGGGCAAGTCGATACGACGGTGGCACTTGCTGGCGTTTTTCGTCCTTCTCGGGCCTCCTGGCGGCTTCTCGTCGCTACGGCTGGATCTGCCTCGAAACATGGGGCCCGATGGACCCAGGGAGAGGTTTTGGGCCAGTTTTGAGTGGATATGGGCTGCAATGGAAGGCTGCCGTTGTCTCATCTGGCCCTCCTCCGATATGCCACGTCGATGGTGCCCCCACCTCTTTCAGGTCCTTTCGGAGTCAGAGTTCGAGGATCGATGTTTCTGGACTTGTCTGAGCTTTTCTGGACCTGCTGGAGGCTCCTCGCCACCACGGCTGGATTTTCTTTGAACGTATGGCCTTCCAAATTGAGGTCCTTCCCCATCCCCCCTTCTGTACCCACAGGCAATGGTTGCAGCTGTCCTGGAGATCCTGCTCGGGTTCTTGCCAGCGAAGGTGCACAAGAAACTCTTCCCAGACGTCGTCTGCGGTGTCACGGTCATGCTCATCGGAGGGGGGTTGATTGCCTCCGGGATCAAGTACCTCGGCGGTTGCCTCGGTTCTGCTCATGTACTAGTTTCTTCTTTCCTCTTTCCACCCTTTCTCCCTCCTGTGCTACTTTTCGCTGCTGCTGCTCCGCTGCATTACTGCACTCGAGTGGCACCTGTCCTGCTCCTGCCACCACATCCTTGCCGCCGTTTGCAGCCAGCTGCGCCCCGCGCCCGCCTCAAACCCGCTGTCAGGTTTCTGACATATAGCATAACCCTTGGCATCGCTCGGACGTGTGCATTTTTCCATCTGCGAGGACCATCGAGGAGCATCCTTGATGACCTGGCGATAAAACCACACACGAAACCGAACAAAAATCAGGAAATGGACGTCCGAGCGATGGCCAGAACCGGCCTTCAGAAGGAACCGAACTGTCGCATCCTTTTCTACATCAATTTCTCGAGCTGGTCGCCGAGCATCATGCTTCAATGCCACGGCCTCGCCGGGTCCTGCCGCTCCTCATGCCGGTGATCACCCCGCTGATCACCCCGTGTTTGTTGCGCCTTCGTCAACATGTTCCCGTTCACCATAGCAGAAGCCGCCTCTTTAGGGCCCGTCAGGGCAGCAACCCACCCGCCAGGACCAGTGACGGGATGGGCGCACACCTTCCTCAACGAATACGTCAACGGGTCTTACAAGGAGCCCAGCCGCGCCGCCGACAACGAGGACGAATTTCGTGGCGCGCTGGGGCTCTCAGCGCCCCCTCCTGGGCTTGCGTTGAAGGTGGCATGCGGTTCGTGGATACTGCGGTTTCAATGCGCCCGCTGGTGGGAATAACCACACGTATCGGACAGTTTGTTCGACGCAGCGTTCGGACGCACGGTGCTTGCTAAGGGCCCCGATCGTCTTAGCGATTGCGTCGCGAAAAGCCTTGGGACGAGCAGGCAGAGGAGAGCTGGAAGGCAATGGATGGATTGGTGACTGCGTCACCTGCACACCGAGGGACAGCGAAACGAGTCTTGGGGACACAGAGGTCAGCGCAGTCAGCACGTAACTCACCAGCATTCCTACACCCCAGACCGTCTTCGATCTCAGGGCGCACGAGAGCATGCCGCAACAAAACCTCGCCTTTTCTCTGGTGTGGCGCCGGACTGCGACATTCTTAGCCAATTCGAAGTGCTGCGGGGGCGTCAAGCGGATTGTCGTTTTACGCAAACCTAGACTAAACCACGCCATAACTGGGGGGGGGGCTGCGAACTGCAAAGTTGTCGCCGCTTCCGAGGGCTGTTGGGGGGCCAGCGGAGCGCGGCCTTATGCAGAATCATACTAAACCTCGCCATCCGTGTGGGAGCTGCGAATTCCGAATCGATCGACACTTTCGAGGGGTGCGATGGGCCCCGGCAGACTGACGCCGCATGCGTACGTACATTCGACATTGTCATCTTTGTGGGGGTGCAAATTGCGCAACCTTCTACTCTATCGAGGGTCGTTAGGGTCCAGGAGAGGGATGCCTCACGCATGCCCAGATTCGACTTCGCCATCCGAGGGGGGCAACGAACTACGAGTATGTTGCCACGTTCGATGGGCGTTTGGAGGTCCGGCGAACAGACGCCTGGCGCAGACTTAAACTAGACCTCGCCATCCTTGGGCGGCTGCGATTTGCGAGTCTGTGATATCTGGGACATCCCGGAGCAGGTGGGCTTAGATCGGGGATGCGCGGACAAGCGTAGTCGTTGCATCAGATCGCGAGCGCTGCAAGCTTGAGGTGGCAATGGTGACATCAGCCAGCACGCGCCACAAAAGTATTCCCAACCCTCACTGTGGCATCCAGTCCTCTTCCTTATCCTTTCTCCTCCTTCTGCTTCCTCTCGCGGTGCTTCGCGGGCGGCTGCCAAATGCGGGCGCGTCGTTGCGCGCGTGGGCCCCGGGGGAGTTCAGCGGAATAGAGGCGCGCGCGCCGAGCCGACGTCGCAATTCTGTGAGAAGCTGCGAACCGCGTCGTTGTTGTTTGTTTTGTGCGCTTCGGGGGCCCACTGCGGAGCATGGGGGGTGCGCGCGCCCAGGCGGGGCCTCGCAACTCCCTGGGGGGCTACGAATTGCCCAAGCGTAGCAATTTTCGTGGGTCCTCGGGGAACCTGGCGCGGTAGGGGGGCGCGCCCACCCAGCCGCAACTTCGCGGCGGAGAAGGGGGCTGCGCGCGCGCATCCGAGACTTCGCAGCGCCCTGAGGATTGCGAGCAGTGCAATTGCCGCCACTTTCGTGGGCTCTTGGGGGGCCCAGCGTGGCAGCGGTGCGCGCGCGCCAAACCGAGACTTCACAACTCGTTCGATGGTTGTTCACTGCGCTATTGGAAACGTCTACGGTGGCTCACCGCCGCCCCCTGCCTTTTGGAATCGCCGAACCCATGGCTAGGGGGTGGGGGTACCGAAAGGGGCACCTTGCATTGCGCCGCCGCCGCCCAGCCGCTCCCATGTCGCGCGGGCGCGGGACTGTCGAGACCCCCGAGGACGACGCTGCCAATGGAAACCTTTCGTGCCCCCGGGCCCCCATGGGGGGCCTCCGAACCCGCAGGGCGGGGGGGGGGCGGAGGGGGGGCGGACGCGGGTTTTCCGAGCCCCCGAGGGCGACGCTTCCAACGGAAGCGTTTCGTGCCATCGGGGTCTCGGGGCGGCCCAGGGCCCAGGTGGGGGGGGTGGCGGGCCAATTGAATCACCCTGCCGCAGCCGCCGAGCCGTTTGGTCTCCGCGTTGCCTTTTGCGGCGCGGGTCTCCCCGCATCCCCGTGGGCGCTGATGGAAACGTTTCGCGCCCTCGGCAGCTCGGCGGCGGGGGGGGGCGAGCCCGCGCGGGGGGGGGGGGTCGCCTTGCCCTTCCGCCGCCGCCGGGCCGTTGGCCTCCACTTCCATGACGGATTCGCGTTGGGACAGACGCGTGACATGTGAAAACATTCAGCGGCAAAACATTCAGTGTGAGGCAGTGTTCGACGTAGTTCTAACTTTAACGCGTTAATAGGGGGGGACTGTTAGAAGCAGCTGCCACCTCGGCTCCAGCTTAGCACCGAGGCAGCGATCCGACGCTTCAGGATCCCCTCGCGTCTTCCCTACCACAGCCCCCACCCCGCCTCCGATGTCTGGGCGCGGGTCCTGGTGGGGGCCACCTCCAGGACTGGCCCTTGGACGCGGTGCGCCGCCCTCGCGTGCGACCTCCGCGCCCTGGCGGCGCCGAGCGTGCATCTGGCGCACGCGTGCCCGTCGTGCGCGGGGCGCTAGCATCACCATCTTCGCGGAGCTGATGCGCTACCACACCGCGCAGTCCGCAGAGACGACGATCAGCCCGAAGGATTCGCTGGAGTCCAACGACACGGAGAATCTCGAGGAGCAGGCCCAGCCCAAGGTCGTCGAGACCCCCTTCGTGAGCGCCGGGCTTACGACGACGACCGCCCAGTCGAGGTCCCAAACGACTGGCTTGGCAATCTTCTTGGCGGATCTCGTCCTCCTGGAGATCGCGTGGGCCAACATTTTCATGGTGAAGCTGATCGTGCGTGCCCTTGCGACGGAGATGACGATCTCCCTGGGCATCGTAGTCGTCTCCTGCCTGATGATGTGCCAGTTCCCCCTGGGAATCGCGTGGACCTACCTGGCTGGCTGATCTTCATGGAAGCAGATCGGGCTCTTTTTGTGGATCGTCTTTCTGCTGAAGTTGCTGATGCTTACTTTCGTGATGGAGAGGATGATCTTCCTGGGCCTCGTAGTGTCCCACCTGATGATGTGCCGTGCTCCTCTGGGAATCGCGTGGACCTACCTGGACCAGACCGGCCACTCCTATGGGCTCGTGATCTAGAGGACAGCTCTCGCGATGATTGGTTCGAGGCCAGCCTCCTAATCGATGTAGTGTACGACCTGGTCAACTTATCCACCGAATTTGGCTGCGGCTGCCCAGTGAGCGAACTCAGGGAACAAATTGGCAGCAGTTCCGCGACCGACTCCACCCAGGAGGCATGCGAGGCTTGGGAGGCATTCGGAGCCATCTCCTGCACTGAAGGTAGTTATTGGCTCAGCTTTAGCCAGTCGCCTGCTCTCTCTCCCCTGCTGCAGTTGAACTGTAGGTATCATTGCTGTTCAGCCGAAGCCTTCTCGGAAGCCGTGGGCGAACATGCTGCTTCCCCCCCATCCTTCTTCTTCTCTCTTCTTTTCTTTGCATTCGTTTCAACGGCCCCCCGACTTCCCCCATGCGCCGGTGGTCGTGGGCCTCGGCCTGGGACGTCTGCGCGTCCGTCGGCGTCGGGGCCTGCGCGAGGGGTGGGATGGGGGCTCTCGGACCGCCGTGTGGCAGTGACATCGTGCCGCATTGTATGATCTCTATGCGCTGCAGTCGAATTTTGACTAGTTGTGCTAGGTCAGATATACATAGGCGCTAACGCTGTGAAAGAAAGAAGGAAAGACTGTTAGAGGCGTCTTGAAACGTCACTGCGTCGGCGGAAGGCTGCGGGCCCCGCGTTTGCTGCGCCGTGGCAGCTGAAAAGCGCATGGTGCATGACAGAAAGTGGGGGGAGGTTGGGATCAGCGAGTTTCTCATTGCACGTGCGGGATTAAAAGGACGAACGAACTCTTCTAGAATGTTGCTGCATGCTGGTGGCCGCTCGTTTTTGCCATTTTCGCGCATGAATCGTGCGTTCTGGTTTTGTTTGACATTTCCAGTGTGCGCGTGCGCACGATGGGTTTCTCAGTCCGAGCTGATAGGGTTCCCGATTGGAACTCGCAGTTCGTTTTGAGTATTGTTTTTGTTCCTGTGACGAGACTCCTGCAACCACCACATGAAAACCAAGTTAACGGGAAGTGTTACGAACTTGTCGTACGAAGGCAATCAAGTTTTGCTGCGCCGGCCGAAAAAATCCAGTTGCATTGGTGGCCGCTGCATTCTTTCAAAACACCACAGCCCCCAGATGCCAGAAAGCAATCTCGTACCAATTCCAACCGGGGTGTTCGTGTTGTCTCCCACAATGAATTGATTATTATCATGGCAGGCGGTTCATGCCAGTATCGTTTGAAGTGTTGTGAACAGGGTCTTGTTGCCGGATCAAGATGGCTGGTTGTAATTGGTGCCAGATTGTTTTGGTTTGGTCGGCTGAGACATGGCCAGGGCGGTCGACATTCGTACGCGTCGGCATGGACTGGTCTGACATGCCCGGGGCCCCCCTTTGGGGGGGCATCCAGCGGTGGTGCGCCCTTCTTCAGGACATCCCTGATTGACACCGCGTTCGCCTTCTCATCAACTGGTACCCGTGCAATCGTAGTTTGTTTTCCTACTCCGTTTCTTCTCGGGTGCGATCCACCTCCTTCCCCTGCTTTTATACTCACCACCCACCAAACCACCCCAACCCAATCCGAAGGCCCAAATTTATCCTCGATTTCCAGTGGGGGGGGTCGGGGAACGTTGAAAAAGCACATGGTATCCGTACCCCCCCCAACCCGAAATTCGGGTCAAATTCGGGTCTTCGGGTTGGGTTGGGGTGGTCTGGTAGGTAGTCATATACTCCGTATCCTTGGCCTCCGCGCCTTGTGTTTACGCCCCCTCCGCCTGCTCACCCGCCTTCTTCTCACTTTCTCTTCCCCTCGTCGTTCGATGCCCTCCCCTTCATCTGTCTCTCTCCGCGAGGGGAAGGGGTAGGAGGATACAGAGCAGGTTGATCGAGAGGTGGATGCTCAGGGAGCCTGCAGGGAAGAGGGAAGTAGGAGGAGGTGCATGTCGGAGTGGGGTGGCGTGAGGGGGGGCGATCGACAGAGGTGGGGGACTTCCGTGAGCTTCGCCGATAGCTCAATCTAAAGCCGCCGCAACGATGCGAAGATTTCTGAAACGACGAACGATGGCAACAGCGGTGACAGTCGACCGACGACTGGCGACCTTCGACCGACGACGAACACCACGACGACGACGACGAAGACGACGATAGCGGCAGCGGCGGCGACGACTACGACGCGCCATGACGAAGGCGGCGTCTTAGCCGAGGCGGCGGCGTGTTCTGTGCCGAGAACGACCTCAGCAGGGCTGCTGCCTTCGGCGGCCCGCAGCTCTGCAACGAGAACGGGGCGGTGGCGCCGGCTCGAACAAACTTCACCCGGTAGGCTCGTGCTCCTGCAGCCGTCGACGGAGTTTGCCTCCGAGGGCTGCTCGATAGGCCCAAGTTCACGGTGCTGGAGCGTGTTTTTTTATTGCTTGGGGCATAATGGGCATTATAGCCCCCGACCCCCCTTCCCCCCCCCCATAACGTAACGCCCCTCCCCCCCAGGGCGGCGCTCCAGGCGGGCACTGCCGCCGTGCGCGCGGCGGGGTGGGGAAGACGATGCATTATACCCCCCCCTGGCCCCTCCTCCTTCCCGAACCCCTATACTGCCCATTATCGCTGAAGAGAGAAAGAAACGCGCTCCTGAAGGTCTGGGCCCGGTTCTCCATCTTCGCCCCCATCTCTTCTTTGTCGGCCTCAGGCCGGCGAGGTGGCAAGTTGGCGGCAAGCCTGCGGCCCTGCACGGCCAGAGGCATGCGCGCCTGCAGAGCAGCCAGCAGTCTCGCTACGCGCGCGCAGCTCCAGCACCGCCGCGCGCTGCAGCCTGTCATCTTCCTTGCGTGCGTGCGTGCGTGCCAGGCTTGTCAGAGGCCGTGGATCGCAACTGTTCTCGTCTCCTGGGATCCTGCGCCCCTGGAGGGCGATGTCCGATGGGCTGACGAGTCGTGGCGGTATTCCAGAATGGTAGCCTCTTCCATCGGCCGCGCCTCGTCGAGAGGGGGGCGTCATGGGCGCCCCGAGATCGCCCCCGAGGGCCAGCCGAGGCCAAGCATGTACCCCTCAAGCCGGTCAGGGGGATGAGGATCCTCAAATCCAGGAAACCGCGAGTCGCGGACGTCAAAAGTGCCCGTGGCCCAAGGTGTCCCAGGATGTCCATGGTGGCCCCAACGGCCACCAGAGCACCCCTCACGAGGCCCTGTGGGCTCCATGGGGTTCCAAGACGGTGCGAAAAGCTGGGGGGCACCTCGTGTCAGGACCACCTGTGGCACCCCCGGGGACTTGCGTTTCTGCCCCGTTCAGGCCCCCGGACCCTCGCGGATTGATCGGGCTCGAGGGATCTAGGGTCTTGGTAGCGATGTAACAGACGGTGTGATTTTCACGTCGTCCGTCGGGTCAGAGGGTGTTCGTCGGCCAGAGAAGGAAGGGCCAAAGACCCACCAGAATTGTGACCCATCCTTCTGCGGGTTGGCATTCGTGAGTCTCGCCCGCTTCACGTGCAAGGTGTCGCCAGCATTGAGGGGTCCGCCAACGTCTGTCCAGTGGCGTTTGGTATTGGTGGAACGTTCCCAAGCATCCGGCGCTTCGACCATTTCGACCTTCTGATCCCTCCTCCAAGGCTGGCATGTCATTCCGAGTTGTTTTTCTTCATTGTCCTCCCAGAATGGAGTCCGAATCGATGGGGTCAAAATAATATTTCGCATCGCCGATGCATCGGCAATGCGGCTCGATGCGGAGCCCGATTTTCCCAGCGTCGATGGCGCCGATGCATCGCCGACGTCGACGATGCATTGCCGATGCATTTGCGATGCTGACCGGTCTTTCGACCCCATCGAACCTCGGACCCTGCGTGGGAGGTCTCTATGTATTGAGGCCCCCAAAGAAATCCAATGAGCAGGTGATCGAAGGTTCGCACGGATGTTGTGTTGGAGTTGCGTCGGGTCAAACTTCTCGGCGTTCAGAGTTCTTCGGGGAGAAGGTTCGGGGACTTCGGAACCTGGGAGTGTAGCCGCTCGCCCAAGTCGGTCCAGCACTGCCGCCGAGGCCTCGCAGTCTCCGCGAAGACTCCGCAAGTGCAGGCGCCGTTTGCGGAGAGAGCAGCTTGGCCTCCATTTGAGGCCAGGGTGGCGCATTCTTCCAGTTCGAGAGGTCTGGACTCTTGTTGGGTACTGCTCCGGCGAGAGCGCGCGCGCTGGTCCGAGGGCCAGCTCGGGTACACTCCCACCCCTCCTGGCTTCCTCGTCATGAGAGGCGCCCAGATGTAACCCCTCCCCTTCTCATCAGATGCAACTACCTTCCTAGCGATGGGGTAAAACTCTCCTCCTCGGCAGAAGAGAATCGGAAGATGGCAGAAGCAGCAACAGGGCGGCTCCGCCGGCCGATGTTGGCGGGCGGTCGTCGGAAGCTCAGCGGAAGAGAACATTGGCCGCCGCAGAGAGCGAGAGAGAGAGAGAGGGAGAGAGAGAGAGAGATCAATGCTGGGGTCATCAGGGTTTCGGATCCAGCCAGATGCACCAACGTGCTTATTACGCCGTGATGCGGGGAGATCGGGAAGGAAGGACGATCACGAAAAGATGCAGGCAGGGGATATTCCACCCCTGCCTTTTCAAACGACTCCCCATACCCTTTCGTTTCCCTCCCCATCCCCCCTCGCGTTGCCCAAATCCCTTCATCTTTTCCAGCCACTAGACAGGTGGCGCTGACCTTCGGGTCCCCACAATACATTGGGCTCGGCTTGACCGTGATCGCCATGTCGGTCTTCATTCAGATCTGGGGCTCGCCCTTCCTGAAGTCCACGTTCCAGGGGAGGGGGGTCGGCGGATCAGCGACGGGTTCTTGAGGGAAGGGGTCACAGGGACGTGGTGCCTCA